AAAAAAAAAAAAAAAATGGCAGCGAGATTTCAAACAAAGTATAGAACCAGGTGCGACAAAAGTCAGAAAATGACAGACGCGACGTCCGCGAGGAAAGAACTCAATGGGGTGGCGGGCATCACATATAGTCCCAGGAACGGAAGGGTCAGAGTGGTAATACGGAGATATCTTCAAAGTTTTGGGAGTATAAACCCATGTTTCCTCTTTTCTTACTCGTCTCTTTGTTGTTGTAAAGAAAATATTTGGCTTTCCTTTCAAAAACTTTTTCTGTCTTGATGACATTTTAAATTCTATTTTATATAAATGTTTATTTAGTTTTCTCAAAGAAAATTTCGCAACTTTTGAATTGGAGTATGCTAAAAAGAGAGTTACGAGAGGTAGCCTATGTAATTGAAGTACATAGTGCTTAAGACAGCTACTGTTTAACCCAAGAAATAAGGCTGAAATCCACTTCTCGTAATCTTTATTATTTCATCCACAGAACGATTAACGTCAACCTGACAGTGGCTTTCTTAGTAGAACCAATTTTTTCTAGTTTTTTTATAGGTGTCAGCAATTACGTAGTTTCGGGGCCGTAAAGACGAGGTTGTATGGCTTCTAACTTCATTGGATTGCAAGTTCACAACTTTATTTCAAAGAGGGACTTCTACAGAGGAGCTTCTGAGTAACCATTTCTGCAGTTGGCAAAACAGCAGACTTCAGTTTCAAAACATCTCAGCCTAAATAACACCCGTTTTTCAGTAAGACGTCATAACCAAGACGGTCAAACCGAAAAGTATGAAGTGATTCTCCTAAACGTTTGAAACAGGTCTGACGATCCGCCTGTGCTGCTACGTTCAAAACATTCTTTTGGCACAGGATAAAGCAAAAAGTCGCAACTAAACCGGAAAAAATGTAAATCATCAGTAAACATTCAAATAATAACAATGAAGAGTGAAAAGATTTCAACTAGAAAGATTCTAGCATCACAAAGGATTTTCTTTGGCCCTTTCAATGGCTTAATAATGAGGACTCAAGCGTTCATCTGAGAGCACCATAGACGCAAGTGACAAAGAATTTTGGGCCGCAAGAAGTTTTTTTACCGCATTCTGAAATTAACGAACTTTCTATTGGACTGTTGAAAACACCACTGCAAAAATTCCCCAAAAAGCTTGCGGCACTGAATCAAAGAAAAATAAATTGGAGTATGCTCTAAGACCCAATCATTTCGCTAACAGAGCAGCTACTTTCAGTTTTAATGTTGGTTTTTCCAACGTCACTGTGCATACTGTCTGATTATGCAGTTTGCTACCCAAAAAAGAAAATTTTTTCACTTCTTGGGACGAAAGCAATGTTTTCGAAATCATTACTTGTTCAGAAAGTGTTCAAAAAACTCGTTTGTAAATAAGTTCCCTTTTTCAAAACATCAGATTAGGAATAATGAGCTTCTTCTAAGCTATAAAATCAGTTCGTTTAATCGTGTAACAGAGGCTTAGAACCCAAAAATTAACAGCGATTGGTTTCATTTAGGACAAATCTAAAAGAAATTCTAACGATATTTTTCAGTACAATAAGCAAATTTTAAATTAAGAAAAGAAGTTATCTTGGAGTCAGGTCTACCATAGTAAGAATAATTAAAATCATGCTTTTACAGTCTATTATAGATCAGTCTACCAATTATAAGATCTTTTTGATACTAGTTATACCAAAAAGAAACGCTCACATGTCGCTTAATTTCCTACTGCTGTGCTTTTCATCAGCGGTTCAAATTAAAATAACTCCCAATATGGCATGACTCACAAAAAAATGGCCTCGTTTAATGTGACTATCCTTTACAAAAAGTATAATTCAAATAAAGTTCATGAAATTGCAGGTAATTATTCATGGATAACTTTCTAAAAACAGCTGATAGACTTTTACTTGCTATGAAAAAATTGACTGCTTCTTTCCTGTTTGAGATCTTCTTATTGTTTCTTCCATTTGTTTTGCCTTGTTCTCTCATCTTATAACAGTGATACCGTTCACGTGTCTCATTAAGCAAATTTCTATAAAAGTTTCTCGTGCTATTTCAGTCAACTGTGCCAATTTCCAAAACTAATCTTTTTCATTAGTAACTCTTCTTAATCTTGTGTAGTGGACTCTTCGGACGGCTTCGTTATTTTTATCAGTTTTTTACACTTCTCTGCAATTTTTTTTCGTAACATTTTAACGGTCTGATGGTAAGCAGAAATTTGGATCTTACCAGTGCCTTTAAGGCAGCATTTTTAGTAGCTTGTGGTAATAAAGGTATCTCTTTACACCGTAAATATTAAAAAAAGGAGAATTTAAATCGACTATTCCCCCATATATTTTACCCAAATCTTTGCTACCTTTCTGATTATTTTTTGTTTACTATGGAAACAACCGCATAGTCACAGCTTTTTAACTGCGCTGACATACGGTGATGGCCTAGCATTCAAGGTAACCAAAGAAAGTATTAGAGAATATTGAATTAAATACTTATAAAGAGTTGATATCAAAACCGTCTTCACTTATTCCGATTCTTGTTCCATAGCACGTCCTAAATTGTGTGCGGTGGTTTTCAATATTTCAAGGATTTGCCAAGTATAGCACTGACACTTACCTCAATACTAAAATCCTTTTTTTGCATTCAAAAAAGAGTGTCAAAAACTGCTCAAGAATTTCTTCAAACCTCTTAGATTTGGCACATAGTAAATCTGCTTATTAAAGTAGGTTTTGTCAATTTTTTATCAGTTCCAAACGTGAGGCAGTTACCTCTGCAGATGCGAACTAGTTGTTGAAAAAACTAATCATTGAAATTTCTTCACGTCATCTTGTTGGAAACTATAACTGTTAAAACATTGTACTTCGATGGTTTTTTAATATTTATACCAGAAGGCGATACAAAAACGTTCCATGGATAAATATCGTCCTACTATGTTCACTGTTCAGAGTTAGAAATCATTCTTTTTTTTTCTTCTTTTTTTTTAGATGTATTGGGAAATTGTGCGTAAAATGTTTATTAATTCTGATTGGTTCTAAGGTATCAACCTATGTGCAATCGTTGTCACACTTTTTACATCAGCTAGATTAAATGATTGAGAAGTACAAGGACGAGAGAGAATTTTTAATATATGCAATGAAACAACAACATATTAACAAAACTAAGATTAGAACATCTGAAGTTGTCCAGTTTAAATAGCAGCGAAGATAAGGTGATAAAACTTCCACAGGTTTTTATTCTTTTAACACCAAACTAGAATGCAAATGAGCAAAACAGCAAAAAACAAGTGTCGCTAATCAATAGTACGAACCAGGTTGTTCATATGCGGAGTAAAAACCTGGTTGATCATATGCAGAATATGAAACAGGTTGTTCATATTGAGAGTATAAGCCAGGTTTCTCGTATGTTCCAGTAGTCTGCCCAGCATATCCACTGGCTATATTGTAAGTACCATACGTGCATCTTTTAGCTGGGGGTGGTTTCGAATATAGAGTTCCGGTTAACACACAAAATATGAAAAGGGCACCAATGACAACGCCAGCGCATATTACATAAGCTAAATAAGCTTTATTTTTTCCTTATAAATTTGCATGAAGGCAAGATTCGCTTGTTGAGATGTCTTCTCTCATCCAGGAACTAAAACTTAATATTGTAATCGTCAATAATTTTGGGATGAACTGCGCTTTTTTAGTAGCGTTTTCTCCATCCGTTGCAGG